CATCCAAATAACGAAGAACTTGCGTGTGTGTGGTGACTGTCGTGAGTGATACTTTACTTGTCATCGTATTTTCGTGACGCTGTTTGCTTGTAGATCAAGCGACGAAACTGATCGCTGCCATTCGACGATGTCACATAGTGGTTCGTGATGCGAACCGAATTCATCATTTCGATCCGGATGGTCACTGTTCATGTAATGACTATTTCTGATCGCTCTGCAGTTTCCTTTGTTTTCGTTTTGTTGATAAAAGAACGTCGTGCGTAGAGAGATCGATTAAGTGACATTCGAATGAGAACCATCAACCATTGTAGGCCAGGGCTTTCGTTTCATATCCTTTAGGAGGGGGAAGAACTTCAGAGAGAAAGTCTCCTTTGATTAAAGAGAAACAGTTGGAAATTTTTTGCAAAATTAAACTGCGGCTCTCGATCTGAAGCTTATTGATTCTCATCTACCTAGTATCGATATCTGCCGCAGTATCTATGCGCGCTAATGCAGCTGCATAAAAATTGTGATAAATCTAAGTTTATTTCCTTTAAGCCTAACAAAAAAGTGTACTCTCATCTACTTATAAAAAATGAAACTCTTATGGCGATTGGTCTGTTTGATCTTCATCATCACTATTGTTTTCATTTTCATCCACATATATTTTGATATTGCGTGTTTTTGCTCGACCAGGATGGAGGTAGAAATTTTTCACGATCATATCTAAATCCTCGTCAGTTACATTCGGTTTTAAAATTGAAAACTTGACAGCAGTTTCTAATGCTGTTTGAGACAAACTGTTTCTTAATCTCGTTTTGATTCATTTAACAGCACTAAAGCTACGCTCGCATTCATTAGAGCCTATTGGAAGAGTTGTGAGAATCTGGTAAAACTTGAACCATTCAGGTATCAAATACCGTGCATTGGTAGAAATATATCTAGTGATATCCAATAGAAATAGTTCGTCATCCGACTTTCGATTATAATCATTCGAGTTGGCATCTTTCTTGGCACTCTTGATTATAATACGTACTTGTACTAATTCATTTTTAAGTTTTTGAAAAGATAAAAGTGGTTCATCGGTTCTTTCGTATGTTTTTTGATCTGTTCCAACATGTTTGTAATACATTGGATTGCAATACATATTCAACAATTCATTTCCTAGCACTTCCTGATCATTGTAATCATTCAATTTCGTGAACCCTTATTACGAGCTTTGTAGAATGGACAAACTAGATTGTTGATTGAATGACAATTGAAGATGAATATATTTGTATCGCACTACTATTTATGAAAAAGCGCTAGCTATATATAGGGTCCAAGTTCATATATCTTTAGGAAATATCCATCCGATGGCAGACTAAAGTCCATTAACCATAATATCTAAGAAAGATGACATATATGGACAGAAAGAAACATACTAAACATATGTTATCAACAGAAAAGGAAAATATCACGCGCATGTGATATACACGTATCGTAAGAAAAATGGAGAGAAAAAAGGAAAATACCAACACAGCGAATGTATTATCTTCACTATACAGAACATGTAGATAACAATAACAAAAGCAACATTCATATTAGCCTCACGCTTATATTATTTGTAAAATATCATTAATTAAAAAAGATGCTCTCGCAAAAAAGGTAAAATACTCTGTCCAGAAGAGAAAATCGCCGTTTCTCTTTGAAAATCCCCTTTGATTATGAGAGAAAATCGCCGTTTCTCTTTGAAAATCTCCTTTGATTATGCGAGAAAATCGCCGTTTCTCTTTGAAAATCTCCTTTGATTATGCGAGAAAATCGCCGTTTCTCTTTGAAAATCTCCTTTGATTATGCGAGAAAATCGCCGTTTCTCTTTGAAAATCTCCTTTGATTATGCGAGAAAATCGCCGTTTCTCTTTGAAAATCTCCTTNGTAATGACTATTTCTGATCGCTCTGCAGTTTCCTTTGTTTTCGTTTTGTTGATAAAAGAACGTCGTGCGTAGAGAGATCGATTAAGTGACATTCGAATGAGAACCATCAACCATTGTAGGCACAGCATTGGAGTGTCGTCTAGTTTTGATCATTCCTACAGTCTGAAGGTATTGGAATTAACCAGCTGAGATGACAAAACTTTCATGTGTTGATAATAATCTGAGAATGATTGTGTCATTATATAGCTACACTTATCTTCAAAATGCATTTCTACATCGAAGACTGAAGTATCAAACAGTAACAGCCACTTGGTGAGTTGCCGATGCCCTACCAGATCACAATTAGACATCACATTACACAAAAAATGTCACACGAAATAAATTTTGAAATGATCGATGCATTGTTTGCCAGAATTCGCTCGTGTGATGAGTGTATGAGCCAATGAGTATATTGAATTGTTTGCAATAGGCCACAGAAAAATACGTAATCAATCGATTCCAACTCAGGAAATATGATCTAAAATGAAAATAATAATGAACAAATCAATATTCAGAAGTGAAACATGATTATCAGGTGGATTGTTACAGATACAGACTTCTCAATGCCATAGAACCATTTCCAACAACGACCGTAACTGTACCGAGAAACATGTATAGTCAGGTATCATCAAAAGAATTGAATAGAGCCATCAATGTGAAGCTAGCACCACAGATTTGAGTAGGGTTCACTCCGTGAACGATTCATCAATCGAGGTCGGAGGCTGAGTTGTGGTGCTCGACCTCAGCTATTTCCGCTATCTACAACCTCAAGGAGTTCCTTTCAATAAATCAAACTTTTGTGTTCTTGAATTTTTCGAAAAGGTAACAAACACCTTCTGTTTTAAATTGCTCCCAAATGAAATAATCGTAAGTATTAACTAGTAAGACTTAAGTTTTTCTGGTTGTTCTGCAAGATTCGAGAACTTATAACGACGCACTTGGATGAATCCATTTGAAGTCAACGTATCTCTCAGAAACTTTCCTACCAATTTTTCCTATGTGAGTTGCAAGATTGTTTCCTAAATGTTTGCCAATGACATCAGTAAATGTGACTTGGTATTTCACTTTCGAAAGCGCCAGACTACAGAAATCATTTTTTGAAACTGTTCAAAACTTAATTTTCACTATGGGCGAATCTGCATACGATCAGATTCAACGATTTTCCTTCTTTATTCTCTCACTGTTCATATTTAAGCCACTTATCACTTCACTCCACTCAAGCGAGATGCTGATTCATATGGTGATAAGTTATTCAATGAATTCCGAAGTGAAGAAGAGGACATACTCATAATTTAACACTGATCATAAGCTGTGGCGTTCGACTCCTACACGAGTCGAGTTTGTCCGGTTCCATACAGCTTGATTCGACAGTTAGCTAAAAACAGAAGTAGGATGACGAGAATTGTATTCTGTATCTTAATTCTATACAAAGTTTTGCACTGTTTCCATTGCAAACACATGTTCGCGACACATGTCATCATGTCCTTGTTTCAGCAGTCATACTTTCCTGTGCAGATTCGACAATTGAGTGGAAACGGTAATTACGTCAACAGTTTGAAGAATGAGATTACTCGATTATTGGAGAGTAAAAGTGGAAAGAAGAATCAAATCTCTGCTTTAGATAACGCTATCTTCTGGTGAAGTTTCAATATGTCTAATGAAAAACCAATCGATTATGAACGGGTCAACTTTTTAGTGCGGAAATAGGAAACTGATTGTGCACGCATGAGCGCCTAGCCGTAAGTGGCCGACCGGTGGGAGAATGACAAACGACTAGACCTTAAAATTCCAGATTAACCTTAAAATACACGTTTGGAACAATTTTATCAAACTGGAAAGATTTTTAAAAGGGGTTTGACGAAAGTTCGTCAATGAAACTTTTCGACATTGTATCATTTCCTGAAAGTCTAGAAAAGTGTCAACTGTTGGCTGTAAAACACAGCTAGCGCACGAAAACTATTCACTGTCAAATGACTAATTAGTTCGTATCATGAAAAACGAAACATCTTCGTCTTCTGTTATATCGAATGTGTGACACACAGTCTCATGACTCAGTTGACGACTAGAAGCAAACACAGCGCCTTATTTGTTTTTCGAAGCGTTTGAATATGTTTCACACTAGGAGAATTCTCTCAGAAAAGGGTAGGTGAGCTCAAAGAATGAATGTTACTTTTGATTATTAGAAAAAAAAATCAAAACCCATAAAGCAAGAAAATTCAACGGACTATTAGCTAAATATGCTTATTTGAATAGATGTGTGGAAAACATGTAGAAGACTGAATATCGATGTAAATCTGGAACGACGAACTAAGAATAAGTCGTGTCCATAAAAAAGAGTAAATTCGATGAAACAATCAAATTCTACATCAGATGATGATACTTTTATGGACTCATTCTTATGGTCTGGAATTGTTTTCCATATAAAACTTTCTGTAATCCTTTGTTCTGTTGTACTAACCTCACACGTATGTAAGTCTGCTGATGGGATTTTAAACTATATCCTAATTTAACCATCGTGAATATATTTTTCTTCAATTAAGCTATTGAAAAGTTTGGCAAACATGGAAATAAGAAGCAGAAAAGTCGTTCCAGCAGGACACTTTCACATACATCCTAATTACACAAAGAATAAGACTTCTAGATTGTTGCGAATACTCAAGCATGACATATCTTACTATATCATGTATTTATCATTCGAATTTGTACTCAAGTATGATAGTATAACTTTACGAAGGCGTTTGTATTGATGTGATGAGAATCGACACTCGCCGCAGTTCCTTTTTCACTGATCAACAAAATGACAAATAAACCCAGAGGGAGAAACGAATCGGGGAAGGTTCGATTTTCTCGTTCTACACGTGTCGCACCGCCTTCGTGAGAAATATGATAGTGGAATAATTGTTTTTTTTACACATACAGTGTGCAAATATGAGTAACTATGTGTCGTCATGTCTTATTCAGAAAAGGATGCCCTACTATCGAATGGGATAGATAATCATGACATATCGTTGGTCAATCTCAATCTGTTCCGTCGTATCAAATCTGTAGTGTTATCAGCTAATACTTCTGTTCGCTAGATGTTCCCCACATGTAATTCAATATCTCCGCACTAAAATATACTTTTGTATATATATGAGAACTGAGTTATGCTTTTAAACATTGAAGACGTCCTCCAGATATTCTAAATTAACTCAAACCGGTGTTTTCTCTAATTCATCTTTTATTGTTGATTCGTCTATTATCAAAGAAAGTTAGTTTTTTTAACAGACAAGTA